AATATACATATATTCTTATTTTTCATTTTATTTATTTTCCTAAGTTATTCTGATTTTCAAAAATAAGGCCAAAAGCAATATTGCCAAATAGAGCCAAGCTTCCTCATTGGATATCGAATAAAATAATCGAGTGAAATCTTGCAATGAAACGTATTTTTTGTTTTATCAACTTTAATAAATTTTCATAATAAAATCCAGTCTCAAATTATAGCTTCAATTTCTGATATCGTAGATGTTACGACTAAAATATCTCTATGCATTCGATACCTCCGAGCGGACTTAGTGCATGCAATGCAAAGTTGAATGCGTCGCACTCAGCTAGAAAATGCAACAAATTCGTTTTGTGTCGCCAAGCGATCAGCAATTGTTGCTGTTGTTGTTGCTGTGGCTGACAGCGCCTAAGCGTGGCCTAATGAGCAACTTTGGCTGTCGCGCGCTTGGCCAAGATGGAAGCGGCCTGGTCAAGTGTGGCTTGTCTGGCAATCACTGGCCATATCAGTGTCAAGTGTTGTTGTTGTTGCTGTTGTTGCTGCTGGTATAATAAACGCATTATAATTGAACAATTTACCAGTTTTTCTATGCATTGACTAGAAATTACATACAAAATAACTTTATCAGCTCAAACATCAAAAGGTAGGAGCAGCAGCAGCAGCAGCAGCAGCAGCAGCCGCAGCTTGGCTACAGGTTGCTGTTGCTTGTTGCTGCTGTTGCTGTTGCTGCTGTTGCTGCTGTTGCTGCTGCGGCAGTAGTAGCAACGCAGTTAAATATTTTCCGCTTAATTTAACAGGAATTTCAATTGACAGACGTGCGCAAAGCGTTGCGGTTGCAGTTGTTGTTGTTGCTGTAGTTGTTGCTGTTGCTGTTGCTGCTGCACGGCAACGCATGATTTATGCACTCACTCACACACACACACACACACAAACACACTCATATACGCCAATGACGACAGCCACGTGGCGGGGCGCAGTCAATTTCTATTAGGCGCTGACCTTGTCAACATTGTTGCCAGCAACAAACGAGCAGCACCAGCAACATGCAGCGACGCCGACAGCGACGCCGACAGCAGCGGCGTCTCGTTTAGTGCTCTGCGCGCGCTAAGTTGACAATTTACTGACAAATGTGTAAATTGCATTTGATCGTGTTGCTGCTGCTGCTGTTGTTGTTGCTGCTGTTGTTGTTGTTTGTATTGCTGCTTCGTTAATTTATGCGACTGGCATTTTGAGAGGCCTACAGAAAGACCAGCAACAACAGCTGGCAGCGACTGCGACGCCAGCGCTGGCAGCGACCTTGATCGCAGCATGGCGACAGCTTCCGCATTTTACAGTTCCCAATTGCAGTTGCAGTTGCAGTTGCAATTGCAATTGCACTGCCCACTTGGCAATCGCAGCAAGCATATGGTAATGTGGAACAAGCAAATACATCGATATATGTATGTATATATGTAGATGTGTATGTATGTCTACATATATCCTATTCAGGTAGGTTAAGCATACGTTATCATATCTTTTATTCTGTCGTATATTCCATCTCATATGCTGTCTCTTGAGCTCAATATAATGTCAAAGTTTTCAAAGATATTGAAACACTTGTTTATCGATACTTACATTGTTGTCGATTAATTACATAAAATATTGAAACATTTGCATAATATAATTTTAACTAATACACATAATATCGTAAATAGTCGATAGTATCGTTTTAACCCGATATTATCGATTGATTGTTTACGATATTAAATATCGATATTATATTTTT